CGAAGTTGAGAATCGCCTTGAGTCCAAGCTCCTTTACGTCCTGAGGGTCCAAAGTAATGGACCCCAGTATAGTCTGCCTATAGTAGCTCAGAGCTTCACAGCGACACAAAACGTGCGCCGAGGTCTCTTCCTCTACTCCGCAGCGTTCGCATAAGGGATCCTCAGCCACCCCCATCACGTGCAGGTGCCGCCTTAACGTGTTATGGCCAGACAACAGTCCCACCAGCAACCTTAGGTTGGCTCTACCCAGAGATAGGCAGAAGCGTCCATCCTTAGCACTGGGCCCTTCAATGAGCTCTCGTGCCTGGCGGAGATGTCTAGAGATACTTCTCCATTTCTGAGAGTGTTGTCTTGCAACCCACGTCTCCATTTTCCTCCTAGCTTTATGCGCGGTTACTCCTAGAGCTGGCTCAGGACCAACGAGCTTGCTGGCTGATCCTGTTTTCGCCAGAGTGTCCGCCGTCTCATTGCCCCTTATCCCAGCGTGCCCCGGTACCCATATTAACGATACCGGATGCCTCGCTGCGAGGCAATCCAGAGCCTCCCTGCATTGCAATACAAGACTCGAAGTAATCTTACATGCACTTAGTGCTTTCATTGCAGCCTGGCTGTCGGATAAGATTGTTATTCTTCTCCTAGGCCCACCCTCCTCCAGAATGTGAGATACACAAGCCAGAATCGCAAAGATTTCCGCCTGGAAAATGGTGGTGTACTCACCGAGAGGCAGAGATAGCCTAGTTCTAGGTCCAGAGACCCCAGCACCTGAGCCCTCTTCGGTGACCGAGCCGTCCGTGTACCAGACCTGCCCGCTCACTTCGGAGAGTCCTCGGCTACCGGCGTCCCACTCCTCCCTCGTTGGGTACTCCACAATGAACTTGCGGTTGAAGCGATATTTAGGGGTAATACGATCACCCCTGCTTAGAAGGACGGGGTCCTCCCTATCTAATTCGACTAATATGGCAGTATGCCCCTTGACCGGATTCAAGAAAGCCCAGCTGCCCTGACTCCACAGTCGATGAGCGACTACTCTCGCTTCACCGCGGATCACCAGATCCAACGGTGGGAGATCCAACAGAGCTTCCATTGCACTCAATGGCGTTGTTCGCACTGCGCTTGTAATGCTAATACAGGCCAAACGCTGAATTTTATTGAGTTTGGCCTTAGTTGACTCAGTTCTAATGCAAGGCCACCAGACCAGGGAGCCGTACAAGAGAGATGGACGTACTATCGTCGTGTAGAGCCAGTATACCACTTTGGGTTTAAGCCCCCACCTTACACCGACAACACGTCTACAAGCCCACATCGAATTGCGAGCCTTGCTAACCTGCGTCCATGTTTTCAGTGCTGCCTTGAACAACTTGCAGCAATAAAATCAAACTTTACAATTATTGGAATATTTTCGTCTACACAAGCTGACTAGCATAGTGTAAAAACAAAATATTGCAAAACTTATTGACAATAAAATCAGAAAAAAATTTTAGCGTCGTTTTCTGGTGTCCTAGGAGACCATAACACAGATTATACAGATGCGACACCTGCTGTCGGTCCCTTTGATCTTCGTGTCTCCAACTGCTTACCACCCTTACCAAATTTCCCGCTGATGTTCATTAGCGTCCGGAGGATTTTTCCTAGGGGGTTGATACGCGTTATTAGCAAGACGGCACGAATGACATATGTCAAACAACATAATCAAGAAATTTATTTGTGTTCATTTACCCAAATGCATTTTGGCGAGATAATAATTATTTCTTGAAAAGCTATTTATATATTTATATATAGCATTGATCAAACTCAATGTTTTTCATAGCCCTTGAATCCTAAATATCATAGCAATACGAATCCCATCAAACGCAAAGGACTCAAGTTGGCGTTGATAGAACCTGATTTTTGACAGTGTCACCTCTGTATAATACTCTATAATCAAATTCAAGCGGATAACCAAATGGAAATGGTATTTACCATTTTGGTTTGGTATTTACCAATCCGTTCAAGCGAGTGTAGTTATCAGTTTGGTTATAAGATCCGTGACGTCACGAATCAGCTGTTATATGTCATAGTTATCACCGCAAAATTGTGGTATTTACCCAACTCAAGAGTAGTTTTATATTTCTGGTTATTATTTGAAATGTGACAAGTTAGGATTTTGCCGGGTATTGGATATTGTTATTGTACTTCAGCTTCATTTTTGAGAAAAATGATACAGGCTGACTTCAGTTTTACCATAAAGTGGAGCACCTTATTAGTTATACTCATTACGGTTGTTGGGGACACTTTAAATGTAGTTCCTATGCTTAACAAAGTATCCTGTGTAGCCATATACCACAAGAATATTAAAATATGGCCATATAAACTCACTAGATGATATCCACCTGTATACGGTTTTGCTAATTTCTTTTTTCATCATTTCTGCTGAATCAATAAATGTTTTCTTTGACATGCGGAAAAATTTAGAGAATTGAAAGTTATCATGGCTACAAAGCCATGGTTCCATCATTAAAAAAAAATCTGAAAAAAACATTTCTCCCATGAATATTATGAAAGGTTTCTTATTTAAACTTTCCATATACAGTTGTAGACGAAAAAGCACCGATTATTAAATGATAATAAAAATAATCAGAGATTATATACGCGCTTTTCTAAAATAAACAAATTGCAACAAAACCGCGGTTAAAACCAACGCGTTCAAGCGATTCGTGTAACTGACGTCATCAACCCGTGTGTCATCTTGAACCATATTATAACCGCGGCACATAACACAGAAATTTTGGTTATTCGCTTGGTTTTGATTTATGACCATAATTAGTGTTATCAAAAATCAAATTCAAGCGGATAACCAAATGGAAATGGTATTTACCATTTTGGGTTGGTATTTACCAATCCGTTCAAGCGAGTGTAGTTATCAGTTTGGTTATAAGATCCGTGACGTCACGAATCAGCTGTTATATGTCATAGTTATCACCGCAAAATTGTGGTATTTACCCAACTCAAGAGTAGTTTTATATTTCTGGTTATTATTTGAAATGTGACAAGTTAGAATTTTGCCGGGTATTGGATATTGTTATTGTACTTCAGCTTCATTTTTGAGAAAAATGATACAGGCTGACTTCACTTTTACCATAAAGTGGAGCACCTTATTAGTTATACTCATTACGGTTGTTGGGGACACTTTAAATGTAGTTCCTATGCTTAACAAAGTATCCTGTGTAGCCATATACCACAAGAATATTAAAATATGGCCATATAAACTCACTAGATGATATCCATCTGTATACGGTTTTACTAATTTCTTTTTTCATCATTTCTGCTGAATCAATAAATGTTTTCTTTGACATGTGGAAAAATTTAGAGAATTGAAAGTTATCATAGCTACAAAGCCATGGTTCCATTATTAAAAAAAAATCTGAAAAAAACATTTCTCCCATGAATATTATGAAAGGTTTGTTATTTAAACTTTCCATATACAGTTGTAGACGAAAAAGCACCGATTATTAAGTGATAATAAAAATAATCACAGATTATATACGCGCTTTTCTAAAATAAACAACTTGCTACAAAACCGCGGTTAAAACCAACGCGTTCAAGCGATTCGTGTAACTGACGTCATCAACCCGTGTGTCATCTTGAACCATATTATAACCGCGGCACATAACACAGAAATTTTGGTTATTCGCTTGGATTTGATTCTTATGTAATTCAAAATTACGCGTTTGTGTTTGGTAGAAATTAAGACGAGGGTAATAGTCAATACAAAAAGCTCGCCAAAAATTATCTTGACTAAATTTCTTAATTTTGTAGCCACCGTTCTTGGTTTCTCCGGACGCACATGACATGGACAGGAATATCAAATTAGTAAAGGGACTGACTGAAATCAAATCCAAGCGAATAACCAAAATTTCTGTGTTATGTACCGCGGTTATAATATGGTTCAAGATGACACATGGGTTGATGACGTCAGTTACACGAATCGCTTGAACGCGTTGGTTTTAACCGCGGTTTTGTTGCAAGTTGTTTATTTTAGAAAAGCGCGTATATAATCTCTGATTATTTTTATTATCACTTAATAATCGGTGCTTTTTCGTCTACAACTGTATATGGAAAGTTTAAATAAGAAACCTTTCATAATATTCATGGGAGAAATGTTTTTTTCAGATTTTTTTTTTAATGATGGTACCATGGCTTTGTAGCAATGATAACTTTCAATTCTCTAAATTTTTCCGCATGTCAAAGAAAACATTTATTGATTCAGCAGAAATAATGAAAAAATAAATTAGCAAAACCGTATACAGGTGGATATCATCTAGTGAGTTTATATGGCCATATTTTAATATCCTTGTGGTGTATGGCTACACAGGATACTTTGTTAAGCATAGGAACTACATTTAAGTGTCCCCAACAACTGTAATGAGTATAACTAATAAGGTGCTCCGCTTTATGGTAAAACTGAAGTCAGCCTGTATCATTTTTCTCAATAATGAAGCTGAAGTACAATAACAATATCCAATACCCGGTAAAATTCTAACTTGTCACATTTCAAATAATAACCAGAAATATAAAACTACTCTTGAGTTGGGTAAATACCACAATTTTGCGGTGATAACAACTATGACATATAACAGCTGATTCGTGACGTCACGGATCTTATAACCAAACTGATAACTACACTCTCTTGAACGCATTGGTAAATACCAACCCAAAATGGTAAATACCATTTCCATTTGGTTATCCGCTTGAATTTGATTACTGTTGTTGCATTTATCTGTGATTTGGCCGTTTGGCGTGAAAAGTGACCTTGAAGGCTTGAAGCTTAACGAAGTGAACCTAACCTCAATACCTCTAATAATTCTATTCATGCAAAAAATAAAAAATATACTGATTCGGATACTGATACGCCTTGATTGAGGCGCTGGTACTTGGGGTCGATCAGGAAACCAATGGTGCTCTAGGCATCTCCAGAATCAATACACTTCAAAGTAAAAAAACAAATCCCCTATGTCTTCCAGTAGCAGCTCCAAATTGAAGAAATCCAAAGAACGAGAGAAACGGAGATCCCAAGTGAATAATGAATCCAGTTCCAGTGACAAAGGGTCTCCTTCAAAGGTGCTGTTAAAAACTACCTAGGTACCTATTCAGTGACCTAACCATGCATTTCGTGTTTTAGGAGTTTAAACAGTCTGTAGGGATTAATTCCGATCCCATCCACATATATAATGAACAGAATTCCAATGAACACCTGTCAGAAGAAGTGTGTAATACTCTCAGTGAAGACATCAATTGTAGGCTCAGATATATAATACATGTGAGTTACATATAGCTAAAATAAAATCTAACAAATAAGCAATCATGTCAAACAATTAAGTATATTAGGTCTCAGAACACATTCGATTCCCAGGGGAGGGTTGTGTTTCAAGAATCATGTTTCCTTCAACACTGATACTTGTAATTTTATTTACATGTATACTCTTAAAATCGTATGGCATTACATTTTAGTTAAATTATATGTATATATCAATGCCTACATAAAATTATGGAGTTCTAAGCCTTTTTTTCACAAACCCACTTGTAGCTAGAATCATTTTAAATAGCATTTATTGATTTTAGGTCAATTTTGTTAAAGTATACACTTTAATGTTTATAGATAAATGGTCAATTCTCAGGATCCAAACTGAAGAATAGGGGGAGGGGATGTCATGTGTCTGTGCCTTCTTAAAAATCTGCTAGTAGTATGAATGACTGGCCTGCCCAGTATGACAATATTTTCTCCAACTTATTTGTTCGAGATACTCCGGTGGACAGTTCGCTCAAAGTAGGACATATGGTCACATAAGGCAATGCTAATATCAGTGATTGATAACTGTAGTATTCTGATGATTGTGACTAACCAAGTTTTCCACTTTGTATTAGTATTATTACAGCCATAATTATCAAAAAAGTTATCATATTTATGATTTTTTCTTGTCACTGTTTCTTCTCAGTTGTTCAAAAGACCATAATTTCAATAATTGCATATTCAGCAAACAACATAAAGCTTGCCTCACTGCTGCTGTTTTCTGAAAGTACACAAAATGTCTTTTTTTTCTCCTTTATTTGCATTGTGGTGTGCAGCACACTATATAAAATAGGTATATGTTCTCTTTCCAGGATTCTTTAGTCAAAGCAAGGCTACTGGGCAGAGATGTAGTTAAATATAAGGACATTGAGGAGACTTTTGAAAATCTATCCATAAGCAAAGTATATGGAGCAACAGCAACCCCAAACTGGCGAATTTTTGATAAACAAAATCTGTTATTTTTGGATGTAAGCAACTTTTTTATTTTACATAAACATAGTATGTAGGGTTTTCCACAAAGAAATGTGGTGATGAGTTACTGAGGTGTTATACAATTACAAAAATTTGGGCTTATAAAGGACTGATGTTGATGAAACACAAATGAACAGTTTATTACATGATAATTACATAATAATAATCTTTATCCATCATAGAAAAAATACACAAGTAATCATAGCCATGTCAGTAATGAAAGAAAAAAAAGTGCAGCATTGAAGACATAAAAGTTTACTAACTATAATAAACTCAATATACAAAAAGACACTAATATTTTTTTAAAAAGTCGAGCAAAATGTCAAGAACATTATTAAATTATCAATTCAATTTAGTCAAGAAGGCCTGTCCCTTGCCAAAGCATAATAGTCCTCAAAACTGTAATTACAGGCACTTGTTAATACAGATTTTAATTCACATTTAAATCTGCTCAGCTGAAGTGAACTCACCTCATCTGGCAGTGGTACATTGTAGAATATAATCAACAACTATTACATTGACGGTAGATTTTATTTGCCTTAAAGCATAAATTGCCTTGTTTAATTTATTACATAAAATGTTTACTTGGTCAGTATACAACAGACTAGTGTCCAACATAATACCCAGAAATTTAGTTTTAGTTGTTTTCCCAACCGTACTGACTGGTTTAGTTTCAAAACAAAGTTTCAAACGCCTGGCTTATACAATTGACTGACATCTGTTGTCGTTTTGTTTTCCCTAAAGCCAAACTGCCTGGGAACAATGATTTTATTTTTATCAAAAAATGAAACAAGCTGATCAACAATAACTGTTTCCAATACCTTTGAAACCACAGGTAGAATAGATATTTGTCTAAAGTTTTGAGGAAGGTTCAGCTCTCCTTTTTTGTGGAGCAGGATTAATTTGGATTTTAAAAGAGATGGAAATGAACCTTCCTCCACATTCATGCCAAAAACATCCTCTGTTTTTTTATTTTTTTATAATACATCTCAATTCATAAAGATCAACTGGCCTAAAAAACATAACATAGGTTTTGGCTGTTCCAGAGGCTATGTCATATACGTAGTCGTGCCATAAGTTCTGTCCCATGATAATCTCATGATAAAAATGAAACAAGATAAGATATATTTATATGAAAGATATTATTTATTCGACAACATTTTTAGAATTCATAATCAAACAGTTTTATTCAAAATGTCCCCCCTTGGCCTTCACACACTGCTTCAATCTCGCGGGCCACTCATCTATCACTGCACGCACAGCTTCCAAAGGAATAGCTGCCGCTGATCGGATCAAATCCGCTTTCAGGGACTCGATATTACGGTGAGCTTTGGAGCAGGCCAACTGCTCTAGCAGGTCCCACAACTTGTAGTCTAAAGGATTGAGGTCCGGACTCCCTGAGGGCCAATCTTCCGCAGCAATGAACTCTGGCACATTGCTTTCCAGCCAGCGCTGCGTACTCTTAGCCTTGTGAGCGGGGGCGGAATCCTGCTGGTAGACCCAGTGTTGGTTGGCAAACAATGTACCACTTAAAGGCTTGACGATAGGATCCAGTATGTCGCTCTGATAGTTTGCCGCTTTTGTTTTCACGCCCTGCTCACAGAAATGGAGCTGAGTGACCCCTTCGTAGGACATTCCCGACCAAACCATGACTGACGCAGGGTGGTGGCCTCTCTCAACTCTCGGAATGATCTCGGAAGCTTCCTGTAAACTCCTTGCATACACTTTGTCATTTTGTCGGTTGAATTTTTCTTCTATGGTGAAGATTTTCTCATCCGTGAACAAAATCTTTCGGAATCCCCCAGCTGCGTACCTCTCCAAGAGCTTCTTGGATCTTGTCGCCCTGATGTGTCGCAAGGTGGCCGTAAGTCGCTGGCCCGTACGTCTCCGGTAAGCCCCTAGCCCTAGGTCTTGTTTAATGATGCGCGACATCGTCCGGACAGGAATCTTCATTTCCCTGGATAGGATCTTCTGCTTCCGGAGTGGATTCCTTTGAATCCTGGCTTTTACGGCTTTGATGGCTGCTGGAGTCCTTACTTGACGAGGTCTTCCGCTTCTTGGCCTGTCATCAACAGAGGACGTCTCATTGTACCGCTGAATGGTCCTAGACACAAATTTACGCGATATTTGAAGGCCGCGTAAGAGTTCAAAAATCTGACTAGCACTGTGATTACACTTATGTAAAGCTATCACTGCAATAAGGTTCTCTGCCTTGCCCCACTCCATCGTTATGCTTCGAGAGATCAATACAAACTGAGGTATATGTAATTACCCGAAAAGCGCTTAATCAACTGACACCACAATGTAAACAATCGGACAAGTATTAACAGGTCTACACTTGTTTGAAAACGAGGGACAGAACTTATGGCATGACTACGTATAAATGGACACTGTAATTTCCACTCTGCAGATTACCAGTGAGTGTTCCAACATAGCTTACATAAAATGCATTTAACTCACTAGGAGTAAAACCTTCAGGATTTATTTTAATCTTGCTTTTCCTACCTGTTGTTAGATTTATTATGTCCCTGACAGTTTTATTACGATTGTCAGTTTCCTCCAATCTGCTTAGATTGTAATTTTGTTTTGCATTTTCTAATATCTTATATATTCTCTTTTAAGTCCCAATATATTTGTTTGTTTCCTTCTGTAGTAATCCAACTTTTCATCATGGGTTTATTATTTTGAGTATACTTTGGGAAACATATTGTAATATTAAAAAAAAGTATTATGGAATGCTGTATATTTAGATTCCGTGGAATGTGCATTTTACACATTGTGCCAGGTTTCTTTTGAAAGATTAAAATACAATGTTATATTCAGCTTCATCATATATTCTAAAGATCCTGCCATTTTCTTGCGAAGTGGTTTGAACATCAATATTCATTTTCAAAGCACAATGATCTGAAAATCCCAAGCACTCTACTTTAGCCTTACTGGAGGCACACATACTAAATATATTATCTACGAATTATGTTTGCCAGCGGCGAACGAGGATTTTTAAAAAACTAACTTTTATTTCCCGCTGATGAATCTAACTACCATTACAATAGTTGATAGCTATGTGATTACCAAATAAAAGGTACAGTGGTCATATAATAGGAATACACACATAAGCTAATTCTTAAGAAGCATGGAGGACATATCAGGTTGCATATATGAGATAATTCTAAGTTTTCTAACAACGGTAATAGAAGGACACAAGATAACGCCAAGATGATGCAATATAATAATTATATTGTATAGAGTGAACCAAAGTACATAACTCTTCCCCTCTTAGATCGAAACGTCCTCGTTTCGGTTTCTTTTAGTTTCAGAAATATTTATTTCTATTACAGGAGGATCAGAACCCTTTCCAATGAACAAGGCTTTTAGACAACATTTGTATATAAGATAAATTACTCCAATAACAATGATTAAGCCAAATATGGAGAATCCGCTAATTATTGCAGTATGATAAAAATTTAGGTTTTGATAAGGAATTGGTTTCATTTAATTGACAGGAGTTTTCAATGCTTCCAAATTCAGTAAATCATAGTTAATTCAACTGTCATATTTAAGTTCAGGTAACCAACTAGAATTTTCATTAATTGTAAAATTTATATTTGATAGATAAAATACCTCTTCATGAATTATTACAGGTATATCACATATGCTGTTCAATATAAGGAACCTTTTAGGTTAATTTCCTTGACGTTCTCTTCACATTTCTCTACTAGGGTTCGAAATGATTTTGAATAAAAAATTAGAGCATTTTGCTTCTCAATTTTTTATAAAGGAAATAGTCATTTTTGACCTCATGGAATACACAATGCGTATAATTATTTTTTAATGAGCTTACATTGGTGCTCTGTGAAGAAAAGCAAACAAATTTTTTCAGTTTTCTTGCAGGGTGTGTCAGTCCAAGCTTCTTTTACATCATTACTTAAATAAAATGTAGTAGGTGGTTCTAATATAATATTTTCGTTATTTGGCAATGGATGTACATAATACAGATTGAATGGGAGTTTACGAAGTATCGGAATTTTCAAGATAGATGTCATCATTGATGTGCACAATGCTTAGCTTACTCAGTTGTAATATTTGAAATGGCCGCTTATCTCCAACATTTATCAAAGCCTTTGGAGTATATATTTTTGAAAGGTGATTTTGTATCAATTCTAGTTCTTCACTGGAAAAGGTATTTAAATTTGGAATTCCTTGCAAGGTTAAAGTTAATGATACTTCAAGACTTCGAATATAATTGTATAACTGACTTGCGACAAATAAAATCCTTGTAATGACCATATGTTTATTGGTATCTTCCTTAAAATTCCTGATTGCGGCATGTGTATTTAATAAACGCTTTTCAATGATATTCATATTATTTTCCAATTTTGCTGAAATTACATGTGCAAAAGATATTTGATTATTTACTTGCTCTATAAATCTGAGTTTGCGTATAGGGCAATTTATGAAAATTATTTTCTATAGTATTAAGATCATTTTGATCTAAATTTCCCGATATATATCTAGTAACTGTTCCAAGACCATTGACCAAGCCACGTTTAGATCGTCTACGTGTTGAGGTGATTTTTTTGTAGTTCTTCTTCAATAGAACTTATAGTATGTCCCAAATCTAAAAGTAAAGCGTGCCCAGACATATCATCATTTTTATTTGGGCGGAAATTTTCTTATAGCTATCTATAGCTAAGTAGTAATTTTGTAACGTGTGCGTTACATTATGGTAATAATATATCGAATGGTAATGTCTGATTACCCTCGCTGGACCTAGTGATTCCTTAAAATATCCATGATGAGGGTCAATTCGAGATGCGTTTTAACCGCTAGTGCCAGGTTGTGGATGTCGATCCTGTAAATAATCTTTTCTTAATCGTTTAACATTTTTCAGTGGCCTTTTTATAATATGTTTTTGCTTAGCTCCTACAAATTGGCCTATTATCTTTTTACCCTTTGATTTATCGACTTTTAATTTTGTATATTTCTCACGAATTTT